GATGAAGCCGGAGCTATAGCTATAGCTGAACTGATTTTCTCCGAATTTGAAGTCCTTTTTTCTAGGATGAATTCAGTTGGAATTGCCAAGATTCAGTTCATAAGCCGTTTGGTGCACAATAAACCTTAAATCGAATAAAGATATATATGGGAGCTATATTCAAATCTGAACCGATCTTAATAATTTTTTTCAAATCTATCAGAGGTATTTCTGGGCTGTATCTGATATCTGGTACAAAATATCATTCTTGGGGAGTCCATATTACGAGGGTTGGACACCAAATCGAATGAAACGTATATATGTACTTGCTTCGAGACTGAATTCGGTCGGATATGCCATCATTCAGGTCAATAGGACTGGTATTGGTCATTTGGTGCATAATCATCGGTTGAAGACATATATGGGAGCTATATCTAAATTTGAAATGATTCTCACCAATTTCATCCAATAGGGTTCATCCTTAAGCCAAACAAATATTGTTTGGAAAATGTCATCTCAATCGGATAATAAATGCGACCAGCATTTTGTTCACGAAAAGACATGAACAGACGGACTGACTGACATGCATAAATGGACCCAGAAAGGGATTATATGAAGATCCTTAAAAAGATCCAGAAAGGGATTATATGAAGATCCTTGGGTTCTATCTCGATTCCTTCTCCATGTTACAAACAAATGCACAAAGATAGTCGAGATATCGGATATGTATCAAACTAGGTATATGTTGAAAATTTTCAAGTTCCTTCCAAATGGTGGAGTGTATCAAACTTAGTTGCTTTTTATAGCCTCCACCATACATAGTATGGAGGGTATATTAAAAAATCGATAAAATCATTTTTGACCCAACAAAGTATATATATTCTTGATCAGCGTAAAATTCTAAGACGATTTAGCCCTGTCCGTCCGTCTGTCCGTCCGTCCGTCTGTACGTCAGTTTTAATCACGCTACAGTCTAAACGAATTAAGATAAGAAGCTAACATTTTGCACAGATCTCTCTTTTGTCTGCAGGCAGGTCAAGTTCGGAGATGGGCTATATCGGTCCACGATATCGTATAGCCCCCATATAACGGTACCCTCCGATATTCGGTATTTTGAAGATGTTAGCCACATTTTTCAATGGAATTGTCTGAAAATTCACACAAGTAGTTCCTTGTGAATACTTTACCCCCTGAGAGAGAATTGTCTATATAGGTCTACGATATTGTATGTCCCCCATATAACGGTACCCCCGATATTCGGTATTTTGATAACTTTACCCACATTTTTCAACGGAATTGCCTGAAAATCCACAGAAGGAGTTCCTTGTGGGTACTTTTCCCCCTGAGAGAGAATTGTCTATATAGGTCTACGATATCGTATATCCCCCATATAACCGTACCCCCGATATTCGGTATTTTGATAACTTTACCCACATTTTTCAACGGAATTGTCTGAAAATCCACACAAGGAGTTCCTTGTTATACATCGGCAGAGAATTATCTATATAGGTCCAAGATATCGTATAGCCCCCATATAACGGTAACCCCCGGTATTCGGTATTTTGACGAATTAAGCCACATTTTTCAATGGAAGTGACTGAAAATCCACACAAGGAGTTCCTTGTGGGTACTTTATACCTCGGCAGAGAATTATCTATATAGTTCTACGATATCGTATAGCCCCCATATAACGGTACCCTCCATATTCGGTATTTTGATGATTTTAGCCACATTTTTCAACGGAAATTGTACACAAGGGGTTTCTTGTGAGCACTTTACCCCCCGACAGAGAATTCTTATATAGGTTAATGATATTGTATAGCACCCATATAACGATACCCCCGATATTCGGTATTTTGATGATTTTAGCCACATTTTCATATCGTATTGTCTGAAAATCCACACAAGGAGTTCTTTGTGAGCACTCTACCCCCTGAAAGGGTATTGTCTACATAGGTCCGCAATGTCGTATATCCCCCATATAACGGTACCCCCCGATATTCAGTAGTTTGATGATTTTAGCCACTTTTTCCAATGGAATTATCTGAAAATCCACACAAGGAGTTCCTTGTGAGTACTTTACACCCAGACATAGATTTGTCTTAATAGGTCCACAATATCATATATACCCCCATATATCGGCACCTCTCTATATTAGATATTCTAAAGAAAAAAATCCATAAAATCCATAAAACAAAATTAATGGATTTTATTTTTTGAAAATTTTCTAATTCGTTCCAAATGGTGGAGGGTATTCAAAGTTCGGCCCGGCCGAACTTACTGCTTTTTTACTTGTTACTTGTTTAGCTTACAATACTTTGTGTTGGGGGAGGGTAAGAATTAAAGCATATTGTTTTTAAAAATGATGATCAAAAAATTAAAAATTTCCTGATTTTGTCGTCGCTCTACAGGTCACAATTAACAATCATTAGAAATGGAATTTTGCCTGAGGTTAGAGTATAGGACAGGGAAGAAGTCGAGTAAAATGGACTAAAACTTTTGTGTGAAATTGTTGTAAATGCCAATCAGCACGACGGAGAGCGTAAATATAGTGCAGGACTGTATGACATTATTTCAAAAACGAAATGTACCAAAATGAATTTGAACCTAAACCGGCTTTTAAATACGTAATAGGATTGTAGACTATCATATGGTCGGGCCCGCACGAGTATCGCCTTTGCCTACTTGTTTTATTATACCGAAGTAATTTTGTTCTTGCATAATCACATTGTTTGTTATTTTTATAAAAACAACATTTATCAATTAGTAAAGAAAGGTGGTAATGCTTTCCATGGGGAACGTTGGCTAATCTGCAGCAACAAAATAACTATGATATCCCAACAAATGACAACACTGTTCATTTTATACACAAGGTACGAATAGAGGTTTTTTTTTTTTTTTTTGTAAGAGACCTAACAAACTAACATGGTTATGCTGATTTCATTAACGCATAATAGCGGACAAATATGAAGATGTTTATAAGTGCGGTTGTAAGATTTAGAACAAATTTGGGGTTTCTTCGTATCATTGTTCTCTCTTCTATTTCGGCAGAGATTGTAATTTGTTTATAATAAAAAGGAGAATATTCCCCGGGAGAACCAAAGAAACTGATGAGGTTTGGTGCCTCTATCCAAAACCATGGTATTCCCTATCATTTTTCTCTATTAACAAATAAACGTTGATTTTATAATAACAACAATAATTGGATTAAGCCTAACTATTTAATGTATCCTGACATTTCTTACAATATTTTCAAGCATACCCTATCTTGCTTTAATTGTATAATGTGAAGATGTAACTGCTTCATATATCAGAGTTTTAACGACTGTAAAAAATTAGCATGTAAAAACGACTTGCTGTGTGGCCGGGCTAAAAATGTATATCCTCCACCATAAAAAATGACTTAAAGTACGTTTACATACAAAATCTTATCCGATAGGCCTCATAACTGATCAATTACTTCAAATGTGTCTGTGGAAAATATATTTAAATATTATTGTGATTGTATCAGTCGGTTTTGATGACAAATGTACCCCCTCAGCCAATGTCCATTTATTTAAATATATTTTGACTTCTGTTTGGAGGTACCAGAAGGCGTCCCTTCTCTCATCTGATCTTGCACTGATAAAATATTAGGTCTTTCAAAGTTGGAACAAAATTTTACAATTCTTTTTCTTTTTATGAGCTAAATTATATTTCATTAAAACGTTGACCTTTAGTGTGGGAGGTACCAGAGGGAATGAACCCGTCACCGAACTCGATCTTCGTTTCGCAATCCGAATCATATTTGTTGTTAAATTTATTCACACAATAAATTCAGAGGATAAATGTATGATGTAGAAAAAGATGAGATGAGTTTAAATTTTCGTGTCTGCTGCTTTTTTTACCCATACACCATATGGCCACAGAGGGTATATATCATTTAATACGGCCAAAACGTGTCTCATCGAAATAACGGTTTTAGACCCTAGGTCTCATTGGACCAAATCCGTTTCAGGACATTTGGAGTCGATCTAGTGATGTCCGTCCGTTCGTCTGTCTGGCTGGTGCGCATGATAACTTTCGAAGGGAGTATCCGGTTTGATCCAAACTTGATACATCGTAATATTATTGTCAAACTTAGATCGAGTTCGGAGATGGGCAATATCGGTCCATTCCTTCTGGTAACTCCCCCACAAAATGTCAATATTTTCAAAGAAAATAATTTACTGCACAGAAAGAGAAAGGATACTCCGATTTTTTTCCAACTTTGCATATTCTAATATTTGTATCAATGCTAGGCCAGTTCCGAAAATGGACCATATCGGTCCACTCCATCAACTACCTCCCCCACAAAGGGTCAACATTTTGAATAATTACAACCCTTATAAAATTTGATGTAATAGTCCGATTGTCTTCAAATTCAATATATTCATGAAGCTCATAAAATGCGAAATTAACATCGGATTCCATTAAGACTTGGCACATTCTAATATTTCCATAAACATAAGATCTGTTATAAATATGGTAGAGATCGGACCATTCCTTCTGGTACCACTCCCACAAAGGTTTAAGATTTTTGAAAAACAAAGCGCTCAAAGAAAGCGAAATAAGCATCCGACTCTCTTCAAATTTTACACATTCAAATATTTTTGCTAACGTTAGAGAGATATCTGCCAACACCTTCTGGTACCTCACCTACAAAGGGTCACAATTTCCAACACTTATATATGTCATAACTTGCGACTCGTTGTAATATTTATATCAATCCTAGATCTGATACTAATTGTTCAATATAGGCCAACTGCTTCAGAACCTCCTCCATAAAGGGCCAACAGTTTAAATAATCATAACTCAAGGCTGGGGATATACATCTGCTGGCAAAATCGACTAATACTATTTTACTTGTTTAGTTACATGCTAGGCTGTGGGCATAGTAGCCGATGTTCGATACAAGATACAGATGTTTCTTTCTTACTGTGAAAAAAATCATCGTTTTAAGAAAGTACCAATAGTTAAAAGCGGTTTCAGGAAGTTATTGTTTAGTTTTTGCCGCCAATAATAATCCTTACCTTTAGCTCGTCTCCTCCCATCTTAAATTCGAATTCCTGGTAGAAACACATATCCCTTCGATCTTTACTTTTTACAATAATCCGACCCGTTTCAACTCTTAGATATTCCATCGAATCTCGTCGAACATTCGCCGAAAAGTATAATTCCTTTGGTCTATTTGGGTCCATACTCCGCACAATTTCTAAAAAAATCAAAACCAATAGAGGTCGATAAGAGTATCCAAGAGTACGGAGAATTTTACTGTATTTAGTATACCTATATGATAAAGGTATTTCAAATAATTCGCTATAGTAATATTTTCATACGCCCTTCACACAGAGTTGCAAAGTCCTAGTTTCTGTAGTCCAACAAAAAAAAACATACCAAACAATACCAGTAAAGAAAGACTTTATGATACACCACCCTCTACACATACTTAGTGGAGCTAAGTTGTAACAAATAACAATCAATTTATGTGAAATAGGTAAGATATATATGAAAGCTATGTCACAATCTGAACCGATCTCGATAAAATTTAGAAGAAGTACTTCTGAGTCGGTTCTGGGGGTTTAAATATCAAATCGGATGAAACAATATGTGGGATTTATAGAGTTATATAAGAACCGGTTCTAACCAAATTTTCAATACTTCTAGGCTTAAAAAAGTAGTCGAATGTTCCAACATCAGTTAAAATCACACGAAGATATTTATGGAAGCTACATCTAAATCGCTTCCGATTAACTACAATTTTTGTAGCGTTCATCCTTGGGCCGAACAAATGATCTGTCCAAAATGTCAGCGACGCAGAACATTTGGACGGTTAAGAAGTTGCGCTTTGGCTTCCGAAAGGGTTCGAGTGCAGACGTATATATATATTCTAGATCAGCGTTCAATTCTAAGACGATCTAGCGATGTCCGTCTGTCAGTCTGTTGTAATCACGCTATCTTTCGATCGAATTAAGATAGAGGGCTAAAACGTTGCATTCACGTATAGTTTGCCAGTAGGCAGGTTAAGTTCGTAAATGGGCCATGTCGGTCCACGTTTTCGTATAGCCCCTATACAACGGTACTTCCAGATAGTCGGTATTTTGATGATTTCAGCAACATTATTTACCGGAATCGTTTCAAATTTCGTATTGGAAGATCTTAATGGTAAGTGGGTCATATAGGTCCACGTTTTCATATAGCCCCCCTATGACGGTACCTCCCGATAGTCGGTATTTTCATGATTTTAGCGACATTATTTACCGGAATTGTACCAAATTTCGTATTTAAAGTTCGTAATGGATACTACAGCATATGACAAAAAGGTTGACGTCTTCGTATAGTCCCCCAATTAAGTGGTAATTTTCATATATTTTTTTTCTTTTTGAAAGTTTTCAATTTCCTTGCATATGGCGGAGGGTATTAAAAGTTCGAACTTAGCTGCTTTTTTACTTTTTATTCATTTGTTTGACCATCATACAGTGTAAACAAGTAAAAAACAAGTTAAAAAGCAGTAAAATCGGCCGGGACGAACTTTGAATACCCTCCACCATTTGGAACAAATTTGGAAATTTTCAAAAAATAGAATCCGTTAAAAATTCTTTTAAAATCTTAAAAATACCGAATGTAGCCGTTATATTGGGGTCTCTACGACGTGAACCTACATAGGCTTTGTTTGTCATAAGCCATTAGCATATTCAAATTCCAAACTTGAAATAAACTGTGAATAATGTAGCTAAAATCATCAAAATAAAACGTGACCAACATGGCCCATTTACGAACATGTGTGCAAAATTGTACCCTTTTATCTCAATTCATTCGAAAGATAGCGTGATTACAACAGACAGACAGACATCGCTAAATCGACTTAGAATTTTAAGCTGATCAAGAATATATATATACTTTGTTGGATCTGACATGAGTATTTCGAGGAGGAGGAGTTACTAGCGGAATGGCAAAGTCAATATACCCTTAATAGTATGGTGGAGGGTATAAACAAAACAATATTAAGAATAACAACTCTTAATGTACCAGTCATCATTTCGCACAGCAAACGTTTCCAAACGTTTCCCGGCGATTCGTTCGCAAATGATACAGCTCGACAACTCACAGCCGAAGTACATTAAGTCAATCTCGTATTGTTTGTGTACTTCTGGCATTGAAATGTTTGTAGTTTTGTTTCGATTGAAAAAATTTTAAAAGTTTGTGTCTTCGTGAGAGGGGTATCGTTAATCGTTTCGTTTGTTTTCGTTAGCTGTATATGAGGGCTATACCAAATCATAAATCTTTAATCTCATAAATTTTGCAGTCGAAATATGGCTACGAGTAAAATCTTAGTCATTTAAATTGATCCGCTCAACAACACAAAGTGATTTTTCGATAAGATAGAAATGAAATAACAAACTTGATACAATCCCTGCTATATATTGGAAGGTATAACAAGCCTCCCTTATCTTATGTTTATGTTATCTATTGTTTTATTTATACCTCTGAAAAACGCAAAATATAGCAATTTTAAACAGTTCGTTTATTCTATATCCCTATTCAGTTTTGGAGTGAATGTCAAAGGAGCAATGAATTCATACTTACTTAATAAATTATCTTTACGGCTCTTCCCAAAGATTTCCTTTATACTTAACATTTTATAATTCTTTTTAATCCGCAGCAGCATATCCGCACGATTTTCAAAATGAATGCAATCGAAAATCGGAACGGTGTATTCATCATCTGCAAAGAGAGTCAATTGCATCATCTTCCCATCTTTGTTGAAGTATGGCGAGAACCTCAGATGTTTCACCCTTTTGTAGAACACTGTTTTCTGGAGATTTGGAAATCGTTCCTCGTATTCTTTTTCGTTGAGATGTAGCTTGGATACCCACGATGGAATGGTGTTCAAATATTTTTCATTCATAATTTCCGATGCATTGTCGATTGATGTTCCCGCTTCATTTTCTCCCGGAAGAAGGTGCTCCCAATCGTCCGTATTTTGTAAGTTCCAACGTATTTCTCCCACTCGAACGTATACCTGTTTGTTCACATAGTATTGCTTCTGATTCCATGCACTATTAATCAGTGTGTAATCCATGCAACTGCTACTTAGAAAGAAGCCAGTAGAGGGCTCAACAAAGTCCACCTCAATAGTACGGTCCGTACCATCTTCGACATCATTCTGTTCAATCGATTGATCCTTTGCCCCACTCCTAAACAGGGCCACCCATGCATGTGGTTTACGGTAGAGAAATCTGTCTGCGTCACGTTGTTTCAGTTCCTACAAGAATATATACTTTATGTTAAATTTAAGGCAAATTCACGCCGACACCTTTTACTAAAATACGTCATTTATTTAATAAGGACTGATCAATTAATTGTTGTAGAGCGTATCCTATAACGATACTTAATGATTTTTATACCCTACACACATAGTGGTAAGGGTATTATGTCTCTGTGCATTTGTTTGTAACATGGAGAAGGAAACGAGATAGACCCAGAGTTCACCAAATGTACCAAATGGCTAATATCAGTCCAAATGGCGTGAATTTTGCTACATCCGACCGAATTCAGCCTACAAGCATGTGCTTCAAGTTTGGAGAAAATCGGTTCAGATATTGGTATAGCTGCCATATATATGGTGTTTAAGTCCCGATTTGGTGTTTAAGTCCCTCATATTCGTAATATGCATTCGTCAACAATGATATTTGGTACAAGATATCTTATCTCATATCTCAGAAACACTTTTGCCAAATTTCATCGAGAACGACTACGATTTGGATATAGCTCTCATATATATCCTTAATCCTATTTCAGGTTTATTGTGCAAATAATGTCTAATATCTGCCAAAATGGGGTGAATTTCGGAACGTACGTTTCCATTTTGTGGAACTCGGCTCCTATATATTTTTTTTACCCTTCACCTTGGAAAGGAGAGTATATTAACTTTGTCATTCCGTTTGTAACATCCTTAAATATACATATTCATAATCAGCATAAAATTCTAAGTCGATTTAACGATGTCCGTCTGTCTGTCCGTCTGTTGAAATCACGATACAGCCCACATTATTTGACGTAGAGCGCCAAAATTTAGCAGAGCAATTTGTGTTTGTCTAGGATGGTTGGTATTGAAAATGAGATATATAGCCCCCATATAACGGTACCTTCCGATATTCGGTATTTTAATTTTTTCCCACAATTTTTCACGGATTTGTCTAAAAATTGGTATTTTTTGTCATAATGGGTTCCAGCTTCGGTGGCGAAACATTGTATGTATGGGTTCATGATTTGGTATAGCCCGATTACTCCCGATATTCGGTATTTTGATGGTTTTTGCCACATTTTTTCACTGATTTGTCTAAAAATTGGTATTTGTGGGTCATAATGGGTCCTGGTCCGTGTGGCGAAACATTGTATGTATAGGCCCACGTTTTGATATAGTCCCCATATAACGGTACCTGCCAATATTCGGTATTTTGATGATTTTTGACACATTTTTTCAAGAATTTCTCTGAAAATTGGTAGTTGTAGATCATAATGGGTCCCAGTTCGTGTGGCGAGTCATTGTAATTATAGGTCCACGTTTTGGTATAGCCCCCATATAACGGTACCTCCCGATATTCGGTAATTTGATGATTTTTGCCACATTTCTTCACGGATTTGCCTGAAAATTGGTATTTGTAGGTCATAATGGGTTCTAGCTCCTTTGGCCAAACATTGCATGTGTAGGTCTACGATTTGGTATAGCCCCCATATAACGGTACCTCCCGATATTCGGCATTTTAATGGTTTTTGCCACATTTCTTCTAATGTTTCCTTTACCCTAAGGTGGAGGGTATTAAAAGTTTGGCCCGGTATTTTGATTATTTTAACTACATTATTCACCGATTTTTTAAGTTTCGCATTTGAATGTTGTAATGACTTATCATCGTTTAGTCCCTAATACAACAGCTGCATTCGGTATTTTTAAGAATTTAGAAGAATTTTTAACGGATTTTGTTGTTTTTGAGAATTGCCAAATTCGTTCCATATGGTGGAGGGTATTCAAAGTTCGGCCCGGCCAAACTTATAGCTTTTTTGCTTGTTATGTTTTGGGGCAATTGTTGGTTTCTCTTCATATGGAGTTTGACCCCAAAATACTATTCAGAAATGCTTAAAAGAGTGAAAATTATCTATACTTGGCGTTTTTTTGTAGTCCATACATTTGTTTTGGGTTGATTCAGCATATTAGTTTTAGAGAGATTTTGTTTTGGTGTCACAAGTCGCATAGCCATAGTGGTCCAATTTTGATATTTTTCTTTTCATGAAGACATTATACGGTACCTCATAATTTTCAGAAAATATGCCACTTGTCTTTAGCAAACAGCTATGGAATAATTATTACTATGTTATTACTATGGATGGCAAACTTACTTCCGACAATTTTTCTCGTTCTCTTTTATACCCTACACCACATAAGGGTAAGGGTATTATGTCTTTGTGCATTTGTTTGTAACATGGAGAAGGAAGCGAGATAGACCCATGGTTACTTTAGAGAATCTTTATAGAATCACTTTCTGAGTCAATTTATTCATGTCAGTCCGTCCGTCCGTCGGTCCATATATGCTTGTGAACAAAATGCAGATCGCATTTATTATCCGGCCAAACTTATAGCTTTTTTGCTTGTTATGTTTTGGGGCAATTGTTGGTTTCTCTTCATATGGAGTTTGACCCCAAAATACTATTCAGAAATGCTTAAAAGAGTGAAAATTATCTATACTTGGCGTTTTTTTGTAGTCCATACATTTGTTTTGGGTTGATTCAGCATATTAGTTTTAGAGAGATTTTGTTTTGGTGTCACAAGTCGCATAGCCATAGTGGTCCAATTTTGATATTTTTCTTTTCATGAAGACATTATACGGTACCTCATAATTTTCAGAAAATATGCCACTCGTCTTTAGCAAACAGCTATGGAATAATTATTACTATGTTATTACTATGGATGGCAAACTTACTTCCGACAATTTTTCTCGTTCTCTTTTTATACCCTACACCACATAAGGGTAAGGGTATTATGTCTTTGTGCATTTGTTTGTAACATGGAGAAGGAAGCGAGATAGACCCATGGTTACTTTAGAGAATCTTCATAGAATCACTTTCTGAGTCAATTTATGCATGTCAGTCCGTCCGTCCGTCGGTCCATATATGCTTGTGAACAAAATGCAGATCGCATTTATTATCCGATTGATATGAAACATTCCAAACAATATTTGTTTGGACCAAGGACGTACCCTATAGAAATTGGTAATAATCGGATAAAATTTAGATAAAGAAGCTTCCACATATATTCAACCAATTTCGCGTTAATTGAGCATCAAATAGCCAATATAAGAGCAAATGACCTGAATTTTGGCACATCCAACCGAATTCCTTTTAGAAGCAAGTTCATCAAATTACGAAAATCGGTTCAGATAAAGCTATAACTCCTATATATATGTTTCTTCCGATTTGGGGTTAAAGTCCCTCCCATTCGTAATATACATTCGACAACATTTGGTTCCATATATCTTATAAAGCTCGGAAATATCTTTGCTAAATTTTTATCGAGATCGGCTAAGATTTGGATGTGTCTCCCAAAAACTGTTGATACGATTTCATGCTTATTGCGCAAATAATGGCCTAAATGTGGTGAATTTCGGTTTTGTGGAACTATATATATATATATATGGTGTGTGTGCAAACCATAACTGATCTGAAGCCAAATGTTGATAGGTGGTCTACTCTACAAGAGCTCTACTAAATATGCATAGTGGTGTAGGGTATCACATAGTCGGCCCCGACTTTTGACTTTTCCTTATTTATTTATTTTTTTTTTTGTCTTTACCTTTTCTATCATATTTGTTCCTATTTTTGCGTAAAAACAAAAATACAATAAAGAAATTGCCAGTACCCCTATCCTACCAGCGGAGACTTGTCACAAGTAAACTTGCCTACAATAAATTCGGACTAATTTTTAAATAATTAGAAAATTATAGATTATATTCCAATACAAAACAATGCCATTACCCATTTGGTAAATGAGGTGACCACTTTAATTCCTTTGTTTTGGAACTCAACCATTATTTTATAATAATTTAAAAATGAATTCCAACAACATCTCATCGCCAAAATTAATATTTACAAATCCTTTATATGCACACACATCAGAGATTGAAACCTGTTTTCTTTGCAGTGAAATTTTACAAAGTAAATTGCAGAAAATGCAGAGGTGGATATGCTTATTTGAAATCACGTTACCTTCTTAATTTTGCCACGAATTACTCAAGACAAGTGGTATATTTTTGTAACATGAGAAACTAAGTCGAAAAGAAATTATTGTTTTGTAACATGAGAAATTGACCCTACTTTGAAGAGTCAAAAATTTGAATAATCATAACGGAAGTCGAATTATTGGCTAGGGATATGCAACTGTCGACAACACCGACTGATTCTTTTTGACTTGCTTAATTCCTCTTTCATAATCGGTGTTTTCTCCTGTAATTATTTGTATGTACGCATTGTTGTGTTCAAATTATTTCTTTATGTTTTTATTATTAATGTCATTATGCAGCTCCAAAGCCGCAATGTTGATTGAAAATCCCAAGTCCATATGTAAAAGATGCAGTTACTACTTGAAATCCGGATATCCTTCCAAATTTCTATAGAAATTATGGGGTTCTGCTCCCCTTTGAAAAAAATCAAAAATTAGGTTGATTCTCCACCAAGCTGATATTACATTGTTACCGTCTCAATGGCACTCAATCACTTGCAGGCAGTAAAGTTAATTATTTTTATAGATCAATAGTTAGATCCTTTTTCCTTTCCCCGATTTTTCTCAGTGTTTCGAAAAAAATCGTATAAGCGTGCGAAAGGACCTATGTTTTTATGACTTATTTTTTTTTTTAATTTATAGTGAAATATTGACTGAACTTCAAAACATTTTAGAGGGTTGGGGCTATTATATTTTTGGCAGCAGCATTTACACACATACGTACCTCCTCTTCACGCTTTAATGCTTCCTGGCGTTGTTTTTCATTCTCCTTCTCTTTGACAATTTCAGCCATATTCGTTTCCAGATGACTCTGTAAATCAGGCATTCCACCAAGACAAAATTGGGTTTCGCTCAAAGGCTTGTCTTGCACATGTTCGTCGTTCTCAAATTTGTAAATGTCGCCGGGAAATGGTACAAGACGTTGATCATTTTCAACGACATCCGTCCGCGCTATTCCCGAAACGACCAAAGCGTTGAAACCAGCTCCGATAAGCATACTGCATAGCAAGGTAGCCATTTCAAAGCTATTGCCCCGACGTTTGCATAGCAATGTTGCTGGTGATATTAATCGATTCGGCTGCAACGGTAGCAATCAAAAGATAATGTCTTTAGTTATTGCTACAGTTTATCACGAACGCTCAAAATAATTATAAAAGTAGTAAAAACATTTCGGCCGGAGCAAACATAAATTATCGTAAACACAGTTGGCTAAAAATACCTAAAATTTGTAAAGTAATTTGCCAATACTCTTACAAAACTGAAACTGAAAGTTGAAAATGCATTCAAACTGGCTCAGTGGTGCTATTACAAAACATCGACCTACATTGAGCATTTTGGGAGAATATCGTTTCTATACTTTAAAATTTCAAATTAGATACACTTCGGCTTAAAAATACATAAAATCTGCCAGTGCCCTGGTTTAAAACATTTGTCAAAGGTTAGGTCATTAACATACCCAAATTGTCGAGGCGCTGCCTATTGCGGCTGCAATTCTCAAAACGTCAGATGTCAGGATGTACCGGAAAATGATGGCTACAGCTATTACAGGATGAGATGAAAAAACTGCAACCAATTTCAGACTGCTGTCCTTTCTAAGACACTCGTCCGACAGCTGTTAAAATTATTCCATTGATAGCTCTTTATATTGTTTACAAGCGTACAAAAGCATTTTGGTGAGAATTTTCCAGAAAAAAAGTTATTCGTGATGGAATTCAAGCGTGAATATGTGATATCTTTACATGTGTCTGGAAAACCACAAGTGGCTGTTGTTATAGCACTCCAGCATTTAAATGTGAATAAATCTTTTGTGTCACTTACCATCGCTCGTTACCGTGGTACTGGTAGTGTAGCCCGACGTCAAGAAAGTGGACGGAAGAAAACAGCAACATCAGCAGAAATGGTTCGAAAAGTAAAAAAGCGACTTGATCGAAACCCCCGTCGCAGTGGCCGAAAAATGGCTCGTGAGCTGAATATATCGCAATTTTGCATTCGGCAAATAATAAAAAATGAGCTCGGGGTAAAGCCATTGAAATTCTTAAAAGTGCAAGAACTTACACCGCAACAGAATGAAAATAGACTCAAGAGCTAAAGAGATGCTTCGCTTGACCGAAAGTGTTGAACTGCCGAATATGGTTTACTCCGATGAGAAAACATTCGTTGTCCAGGTGTTTGTAAACAAACAAAATGATCGTGTTTACTTGTCAAAGAGATCAGCTGAAAATGTGCACCTTCGGTTGACCACCAGAACTCAAGCGCCGGCCATGGTGATGGTGTTGGCCGCCATAACAGCCGATGGTCGCTCTTCGCTCGTATTAATCGACAGTGGCAGACCTTAGACATTCCAACAGGACTCAGCACCATTACACTCAGCACGCGCCACCCAAGAATGGTTACAAAATGAGGTTTCTCGCTTCATTTCCAGCGCAAAATGGCCACCAAAACCTCCGGATACCAATCCGTTGGGTTATTATGTCCGGAGTATTTTGGAGAGCAAGGTTGGCACTTAAAAGTACCAAAGTGTCGATCACCTCAGGCAAGCGCTTCGCCGGGAATGAGCCAAAATACCGCAGAGCACCATTTTGAAGGCCATAATTCGTGCCAAAGATGACCAATTCGAATAAATTTTAACTTATTCTAAAATTTGATGCTATTTCCGGCTTTTTTCATTCAATAAAATTTAAAAATAAATGTAAAAATTATGACTTTGTTGCAGTCTTTTTTCTCACCCTGTAGTGTCCTCTAAGAACTAAAAACGCCAATTCACAACTTACTTGGTGGGATTATGCATCTTCCAACCACTACTGGCTAATTTCGCTAAAAACATGGTTGTATGGGAAACTATACTTAGCCTAGAACATATAGACTATTTTAAATTCCAACAAGTTAAAAATTAGCAGTTGGTATTGCGACAGTTGTATACCCTCAGCTTTGAACTATGGTTGTCCATATTGTGGACAATATTGTCCATTTCGTATCTGACCAAAGTCTGATATTGTCTGAAAGTCTGACATATATAAAAGTCAGATTTGGAATATATCGTCTGATACATATATTTTTACTAAATGTTGAAATATGTTTGAGGTACCATACATAGGACCGTAGTATTATACTTCATCTAATATTGATAAAAATATTGGTATGTGCAAAATTTAGAGAAAATTGAGCATTTATTTCCAATTTTTTGCGAATGATTGTAATCAAAATTATAACCTTTAGTGGGGGAGATACGAGAAGGGCTTGGTCGGTAGATTCTGTATTAACATCAGATCTCTGGACGATAGAGTTATTTAGATATACCATGTTTAGAAAAAAAGTGGTGGAGTTTTGATAAGAGATATTAATATTGAAAATCGTGACCGTTTGCGGGATGTACCTTGGTATAAGATGTGCCAAATTTAGAGACAATCGGATACTTATTTGGCATTTTATGAGAGTTATAATTGTTAGTCAAAATTTTAACAAGAAGGAGTAGTCCCATATATTTCATCTTCATACCAGATATTGTGATGGTAAAATATTGAGATGAGCAAAACTTGAAGACAGTCGAACCCTTATTTCACAGTTTATAAAAGCTATAATTATTCAAAATGTTCACCCTTTGTGAGGAGGTATCTTATTTAATATGCCGATACTGTCCATTTTCGCACCTGACTTAGCACTGAAACGAATATTGAGATTTGCAGAGTTTTAAAAAAAATGGATGATCCTTCCTGGTTTTATTAGGCAAATTATTTTCTTTGAAAATTTTGACCTTTTGTGGGGGAAGTAGTGGACCGCTTTTGCCCATCTCTGAACTCGATCTAAGTTTTATAATTATATTACGATGTACCATGTTCGTGCGATAAACGTAGTACATGCGCACCAACCAGCCAGACAGACAAATGTCCTGGAATGGATTTGGTCCAAAGAGACCTAGGGTCGAACACCGTTATTTTGATGAGGGATATTTTGGTCGTATCAAATTATAAATACCATCTGTAGCCATATGGCTGAGGGTATAAAAATCGTAGAAGCCACACTATTTTAAATAATGTGGTTGTATCTTGAGTTTAGCACCTGGGCGAACATCGATAAATCGACATAAAATTGTATAGTATAGCATAGTATAGTATAGAATAGTAAAAAAAGGTGTTGGGGTTCTGATAGCAGTCCACCACTCGATTCCTTCGGAAGCTGTCGATATTTTTGTCGACTTGTTTGTGCAAAATTAACATTCTTTGGTAATACAATATATATAACTTGCTCATATATTACACCCAATTCAGGGGCTGAAGTTTACTTAAATCACCCTGATTTTATTGAAAAAGTGTCCTCTTTGCTTACAGATAACTCTACTTTGATTTGCATGTGATTTTAATCTTCCTAATGTTTCTTGGGTCTTGGGCGATAATAAACTAGATTATGTACCCTCCACTTACCTAGTTGTACTCGACGCTTTTTGGGATAACATTTATGAACTTTGTTTATACCAAGTAAATTTTATACTCAATGGTAAGGAACGACTCCTAGATTTAATTTTCTCATCTTCCCTAAATATTTCGCTTTGTAGAAGTCCTCCATTTGTAATTCCTGAGGATACATATCATCCAACGCTCCTTTTAAACCTTGAATTAAGGAACACTCTGTCCAATATTACTGTTATTAAAACTTTATCTAGTAGGCAAAATTTTGCGAAGGCCAATATACCGCTACTACGCTCTCTCTTATCAGGTTCTATGTGGTGCATCAAAGGCGACATTGATTCACGTGTTTCTAAATTTTATGAACAGCTCAATTTAGCTCTAGCTAGCTCCGTACCAATGGCAAAACCATTAGTTGACCAAGGCCCTGCTTGGTTTACACCTACACTAAGACGTCTACGCAATAATAAAAATAGACTTTTAAAAAATTTCAAAAAATCTAACACTGCCGTAAATTATTCAAAATTTTCCATGGAAAGAATAGATATAATTCGGAAAACTCCAAATGTTATTCTCAGCATTTAGCCCAAATGCGGCAGAATTTATTAAACAATCCTAAGAATTTCTTTAAATTAGTAAACTCCAAAAGGAGAGCTCAGAAATTTTCCTCCAGCATGAAACTTGGTAGTAAAGAGTCTTCAGCCAACTTGGAAATTGCAAATTTATTTGCTGACTTTTTTCAGTCTTCCTATACCCAGGCATATCTATAGACCCTTCCGAAATTCATACCACTACATTAAATCAATTCCCCTGCATTATCTTAACCGAAGACGAAGTCTTAAAGGGTTTAAAGACATTACGCTCCTCATTTTCTCCTGGATTTGACGGTGTACTAACCCATATTTAACAAGTAAAAAAGCTGTAAGTTCGGCCGGGCCGAACTTTTAATACCCTCCACCATTTGGTACAAATTTGCCAATTTCCAAAAAATAAAACCCGTTAAAAATTCTGTTAAAATCTTAAAAATACCGAATGCTTATACGACGACGTGGGCCTGCATAGGCAACTTTTGTCATAAATTATTACAATATTTAAATGCGAAACTTGAAGAAAAATCTGTTTATAATGTAGCTAAAATCGTCAAAATACCGAATATGGGGGGTACCGTTATATGGGGGCTATACGAAGACGTGGACCTGCACAGACAATTTTCTGGCATGGGCTGAAGTATCCATTACGAACTTCACATGCGAAATTTGAAATAATTCCGGTGAATAATGTCGCTAAAATCATCAAAATACCGAATATCGGGGGGTACCGTTATATGGGGGCTATATGAAGACGTGGACCTACATGGCTCATTTTTTGACTTTGGATGAAGTATCCATTACGAACTTCAAATATCAAATTTGAAACGATTCCGGTGAATAATGTCGCCAAAATCATCAAAATACCGAATATCGCGAGGTATCGTTATATGGGGGCTATACGAAGACGTGGACCTGCACAGACAATTTTCTGTCTTGGGCTGTAGTATCCATTACGAACTTCAAATGCCAAATTTGAAATAATTCCGGTGAATAATGTCGCTAAAATCATCAAAATACCGAATATCGGGAGGTACCGTTATATGGGGGCTATACGAAGACGTGGACCTGCACAGACAATTTTCTGTCTT